TGGCTTGAGAACCTCGTGAGCTTCCAATGGCTCACCGCCTTCCTGGGTCCCATGGCTTTCCTCATCTTCCTCTGCCTTTTCCTGCCCTGCCTGCTGTGCTGCATTTGTTCTATGCTGCGCCGCGCTATCCTCGACGCCAAGGCCGATCTCCATGCCCTTATCCAGACCCCGAGGGACCACCCTGCCATAGGGACCTCCCCTCTGTAAACAAAAAGGGGGGGGGTTGTTAGGGCCCAGCTCTGGACCGTGGCCTCCTGTGAGGGTAGTGAGACACCTGGAGGTGCGAACCTGCCCCTTCCGGGGTACTGGGAACGCCTCAGTAACAGACGCTGGCTCCACCCAAGGAGAGGAACATGGGAGGAGCTAGGGCGAGTATAAGAGCGGGACCCGGGGGTGTCTGGGAGTCTTCGGAGTTGGAGTCAGAGTCGAGGTCGAGGCCAGGGTCGGGACCATGGGAGGCAGGAGAGCATGTAACCAATAAATCGTGTGCAGCTGCCAGCTCGGGTGTTCTGTCTAGTTATTCCCCTCCACCCTCGGAGGGGCTGGAGACGTCCAAAGACCGGGAAGGGTAAGTATCCAAGCGATGGTCCGGGTGTAGAGACCCCGGACAATACGGAATCAAAATTTCAATGCAGGAAAAAAAACCCAAAATTGACAGTAAATTATTAAATTTAAGATGCATCATTTAAAAATATATCTCATTTTTTTTTTAAATGATGCAAATTTTTACAAAACCTTAAAGGGTTAAAAAAAGTAGATTTCCAAGGGGGTGCTGAGTAATTTTTTTTTTTTTTGGAAATGGGAGTGGTAGGCCAAATAAGTGTGGGAATCTCTGGTGTCAGTAAAGGGTGTTTATTTTGACATTTTCTACCATAATGTTACTAATAAAATAATTAGTGGACACTGGACTTACTTCTACATCACTTAATCCTCCACTTCCAGGTCAGTTTTCAATATCATCTAATGCTTACTTAGAGATGCTGGAAACCTTACTCAGGAGTGGGGAATGATCAGAAAATGTTAAACATTAAATAAGTAAGTATAAACTTCTATCAGTCACTACTAATCTCAAGAAATCACTAATTTCTGAGTCAGATTATAGATATCTCCTGACTTTCCTTTATAGTGAAACACTATGAATGTTGAAATGCTCCCACCATCTCACATCCAGAAGGAATCCAGAGTATCTTTTAGCGATAAAAGAACAAATCCCAAGGAAGACCCAGAGCTCCAAAGCTCCTGCCAGACCCCGCAAGGGTACAGGAGCTTTACCAGAGCAGGGGCCCCCAGGCCGCTCCCAGTGACTTGTAATTCATTAGGAGATCGTGTGGATATGGTGAAGAGACAGCCGAGAGGGGAGGGACCTCACAATGTAAGAACCGAAAGTACATGTTTACTCATGACCAAGAAACAAACTCCACCTGAACATCGTCATCACGTGAGCGGAAGAGAAGGGAACAGGATTTGCTCAGGCTTTACACGGCCATCCTACACCACTGACAAGCCTCTCGGAAGCTCAGTGACCCTCTTTGAGAGGGATCACATTCAGTATCTTTCACGATTTCTGAGATGTTTTCTTTTCCTCCCAACTTCAGAACCACTGATATCAAGTGAAATGCACGTCTATGATTGAAAAGTAGAAACAAACCAACCAACCTCAATGCTGAAGCTTTGCGATTTTCTTAATTACGCCTCTATGCCCATGCATAGACCCCGGTTTGGTCAGTCAACACTGGACCGATGCCTGTGTGCAAACCACAGACCAAGTTAAGTGACGTGTGTGCGTGACAGTGGGAGCTAGCCAGGTTCAAGGAGAGCCACCGTAAGCTCGTCGAGAGCAATGAGGTGGCTAGGAATACACACATGCACGCGCACATGCGACACACGCACACACATGCATGTACACAGAAGCTACAACTGAGAACTTGTGCAAAACGACGCAATCAGGAGGGCAGGGCAGTGAGTTTACAAAGGAAACCTGTGCTTCGGGGCCCACGGGAGAGCTAGTCACAGGGAGGCAAGCATGAATCCGCGACGGTCTCCCACGGGAGGTGATGGCTATGATGTGATGAAGTGCCTCGGAGAAGAGGAGGAGGAGGAGGGGACAGGGTAGAACAGGGCGGTGGCCAATGCACAGAAGAGGGAGAGCTAAGCAGAGCGGAGGGCTCGGCACGCCTTGGCGAGGGGTGGAGAAGGGAGCACCTGGCCTGAAGAGAACGCCAAGGTTTTGAACCTGGCGGATCTAAGCGGCTCCTGCTACGAACGGTGACTTTGGGGCGAATTCAGGAGAAGGGTCAGGGTTCCAAGGTCGCTTCAGAATTGTGGGTGAGCGGAGTAAAAAGACAGCTTCCAGGCTAACGAGGACTCAGGGAGATACAACAGACTGGGCTGAAGGGACCAACCAGGGAAGAGATTTCAAGAACAGTGCTCAACATACCCGAGGCCCAGGGAGCAAAAACGGAGGAGACTGGACTTGGCCACCCGTGAAGGGGTTTCACGCCACAGTAAAAAGGAAGTGTTATGTTAAAGACCTAACAGGCAGAAAACCCAGCCAAGCCTTTTCATGCCCAGCCACCAAAACCAGAGGAAGAGAACAGTAATAGGGCGAGATGTATTCGATGCTTTAAGCCTTTCAACGGGAGTCTCAAAGATAAGACTTGAGGGAGCTCTGGGTTCAAAGCCCCCCCTCCACCTTGCTGCCTCTGAGCCCCACCGAAGGTCAGATTCCTCATCCTTCAGGCCACCAGGAGGCGCCATTACAAGGGCAGTCATGAGGACCAGACAGAGACAGAGGGAGGTAAAGTGCCGTGCGGAATTGTCAGGGACTGTGACGCTCCGTAAGGAGGCCGGGCACTCTTCAGGGGGACCCCGAGTCCCGTCTGGGGCATCCCCTCGGCACCTCGCCCAGGAAGATGCTCAGCATCGACAATCAGGGGTCTCACTGAGGGAGAAGCCTGACTTGCAGAAATCAAAAGAAAACACAACCAGTCAGAGCATCTCTGAATGTGAATGGATGAGAGTGCGGGAGCAAGAGAAGAGGGCTTGGGTCGGTTCAGATTAGAAACAGAAAAGCAAAAAGGGACTCCTCAGTCAAATGAGCTAAGACGTAGTCTGACGCTTAATTACTTTTAAAACAAAAGACTGATTCCAACGGTTTAATAACATGCAGAACTCCCTCATGCATGCGGACCACAGTGACATTCTTTTCTGTTATACAACAGACTCCAAATGCCCTTGAGGTAAACGTGGATGCAGAAGCCAGGATTTTTCTAAGGCCTTCCCATGAGGCCAGACTGACACACGTCAAAGAGCTGAGCTTGCGTCCTCTCTTTTTTGCACGTCACCCACATTTCACAGGTGCCCCACGACAACCAACTTCATAATTAGCTGACTTAGTTCTTTACTGATAAAGCGGGACTGGAGCTCTAAGAAAATCATATAAATGTCATGCCCAGCTCGATCATTTACAGCTTGGTACGGTGGATTATTGATTATGTTGATGCCTTAAAATCACACAAATCCTGCAAAATCTCAACCAAAAATGGGAATAGACACTGATGAACCTGATTATTTGTCCTAGGGGCCACACAGAACTTTAGACTGAGAATTGGGCAAAAATTATCTTGGCTTACAAATTTGTCAAAATATCAATTGGCTTAACATAATATACAAAAAGCTAAAAAAAAAAAAAAAAAAAAAAAGAACACCTCACAGCTCCAGTTCAGGAGTGGAAAGTGAGCTGGCATGGGAGATGGAGGACCCGGGCTGAAACCCTGCCTTAGCAGCCACCTGCTCCCTAGGTGACCTCAGGCTGGTGACCCCGAGGTTAGGGGGCTAGACCAGCTGATCTGTACCGTCCCTTTCTGATCCCCACTGGGGACCTCGCTGATGCCTCCATGTGACAACAGACCTCAAACCCCCAGTTCCCTGATGAGAATGTTTTAAATGTCAGGATCGTGTCTTTACACTGATTTGTGATGAGATACTTGCATTTTAAAATGTTCAGAAACACAGGTCCCTGTGACATTGCTCCCAAGCTATAAGCTCAACCGTCGCCTTTCACGTAGGAGTTTCTGGTAGAAACAGGCAGGGTCTCAGAGAGAGAAAGAGTGAGATCCTAGAAGTGGGGAGAGTTCTGGGTTAAATACCATTCCCATCCTTCTTAGCTGTGCCTGTGCAAGGTCACTGAACGTCTCTGAGACTCAGTTTCCTCCTCTGTGAAATGGGGACGAAAAGTTCCTGCAGTAATCACCACACAGAGTTGTCGTGAGGACCAAAGGACACAAATAATATATATGGAGAGCGCCTGGCAAGTCCTAGCTCACTACGTTAAATGTCGGTTATTAGGAAATACAACACCACAAGAGAGAAGTTTCAGCAAGTGCACGCCTACACATTTTTAACTGTACCCCTAGGACAACAGAGTGAACTCGAGGTCTGCCTGCGGTAGGTGACTCGGTGGTCTTCGCCAGCGACCGCTGAGGGGCTGCGGAACGTCTACTGGGACGGCTGCAGCACGTTCAGATACTCCGACTGGCCCAGGTGGTAGGTGGTGTTTCTTCCACAGTCGACATACTGGTACAGCTCTTGGGAGGTTTGCTCAGAGTGCCCAAAGCAGGCAGTTGTCACGGTCACTCTTTAAAAATAAAAACAAGAATGAGAAAGAAAAGGACACGTACCTATGCTTGGCAGTCACCTGAATGCTCACGATGGAAACCACCCTGCTCCAAGCGCTAACAATTCAGCCTTAGGGCCAGTGGCCAGCAAGGTCCGATTTCCACAAAAGCTTCTCATCAAGAGGGGCACTTGCTGAGCCAGCACAATTTTAACAAAGCAGATTTATTTGAACTTCTGGCAATTCTTCAAAAACCTGTTTAATATATTTAATGATTATAACTTACTTATTTTTTTAATTCAAGGTTCATTCCAACTTCAAAGACATGAAGCATGGGGGAAAAAACCAGAAATATGAAATAAAGGTCAAAACCCCAAATCCCCAAGGGATGCTAAGTCTTACTAAAGCATTCCCCAACTTGCAAGTGGGGATGTCTCATTCTCAATGTCCTACCCACAGAATCACAGAATTTGGAGGTGGGAGGGACCTCAGTGGCATCCAGCATGGCCCTCCTACAAAGGGCAGCCGTTTCTGCTCGACGGCTTCCAAGGAGGGGAACCATTACACTTCTGGACAACTTTAATGATTGGGAAGTTTTTCCTGAGCCTGACCTCACCTCTCCACCAATTCTATCCACAGCCCCTAGTTCTGCCCTCTGGAGCCAGCCAAAATAAATCTATTTCTCTTCCACATGCACGTCCCCAATCCCTGAGGATACCCCCCATCTCTATCCCAAGTCTCTTCTTCTTCAGGCTCAAGAATCCTGTCTTCGCACATCCTCAAGGCCTGCTGCCATCTTGGTAACCATCGCCAGGACCTCCTTATCAACGTCCTTCTCAAACTGTGCTGGTCAGAACTGGCTACTTATTTTAAAACCAGCTGTTCAGAACAGTACCCCATGGAAACAAAGTTATAAATGGAAATAAGGTTCCAAGTTCCATGCACAAAAAGCTTGCTTAACTACAATGTAGACAAAATATTTCACATTTCAATTAAACAAAACAAGACCAAATGATCCTGTTGCTACATTCTTTAAATGGAAGGAGTGCAGCACGATTCTGTTCTCTCTCTGCCATGTGACCTTGCCAATCACGCTGGTCAATGTGCCCTCCACAGTCCCCAGAGGGCCCCACCCAACACTGAGCAATGCCTCCCAACTGACACTCACAATGTGCTCTTACTAGCTCCTTAGCGCTGCTTTAAGAATATGTGGACAGAGAACTCTACTTCTTGTCTACACTCTCCTACCAGACTCCCAACAAAGAAACTGTAAGGTTGTTAAAAAGAAGAACTTGTTTCTATCAATTCAAGTCTTCTTCTTTCATTTTATATTTTGCTTGTTTGTGCTCTTAGTGAAAGAGAAATGGAGGCAGTAAATCCAGCTACCTAAATTTGAGGGGCTAGTAATTTGTTTCTTTTCTGCATCATCTTCTTCTTCTTTTTAGGCAATTAGGGTTAAGTGACTCGCCTAGGGTCACACAGCTAGTGAGTGTTATGTGTCTGAGGCTGGATTTGAACTCAGGTCCTCCTGACGTCAGGGCCGGTGCTCTGTCCGCTGCACCACCTAGCTGCCCCCTCTTTTCTGCATCTTTAGCTAGCCATTCTTTTTGTCCTTTTCTACTGTAAAGGCAGGCCACTCAGGGACAGAAGTCCGGCTCGAAGAACTGTTTTGGGCACACCCCACATAACCTGATGTGTCGTTATCATCATCATCTATCTTTTTATGTTCTACTATCATTTTTTCTGATTTCTTCTTTAGCCCAGTATTTGTTCAGCAGATGTTTTTCAGTTTCCACAGAATGTATCTCTTCATTTCTGGAGGAAGATAAACTAACAGCACAATTTTATGATTTTCAGGAATTTCCTTGGAATAACCTTGCAAGGGAAGTCACATCAGTGAGGCCTGTGACCCCACTTTAAGAAATCTGGGTCACTTCTTGTGCTTTAGGAAACGTGGCTCAGGGGGCACTAACGAATTGGGTGACCACTGAAGCATAAGGCATTGTGCCCTGGCAGAGCCTATACCAGTTATGTAAGTCAAATCAGGCTGGTCCTCTCACAAGCGTGAGTATGAAGGACAATCTAGCTACCTCCTAACCACAGACTGGCAAGCTTGGCGACGTTGCAACCAGAATGGCTGCACAGGGATTGGCGCTCCAGCCAGAGAGTCCTAAAGCCCTAAGAAAGACCTAGGGGAGCTATAATTTCTGTCACTGAAAGGAACACAAAGATCACAGGGTGTTGAGGGAATGTTAAGGACTTTGAGGTCATCTAGTCCCCTCTAGGTGACGTCACCCAGCCTGGACAGGGAGCAACCACACCTACTTACTGCATCATGACCACGATGTTGTGGACCTTGATGGAGATCAGCTTGCAGAAATCACTGTGAAAGAGAAGCCATAGGAAGAGGCATCAATGATGGTCCCCCTCCTCTCCCTGTGAGGCCCTCAAACCGGATGGTGACATACCCAGGAGACTGACTAACCAAGCCACCCTAACTCAGGGGTCTTCATCATCTGAATACATCAATGGCTCGGTTCTTTAAAGGAACCATGTGTACAAACACACATCAAACAGTTCCTCTAGAGCTGTGATCCCATCACCATGGGGACTTTTATGCACACTCCCTGCACTGATGAAGATGAGCTTAGACAGCTTTCCGAGGCACTGAGAGTCCACACGAGGAGAGGCGGGAGCCGAGCCCTGGGACTTTGGACTCCCGGGGCGGCCCTCTCTCTGCGGCTAACGAATTCAGGGCTTTCCTAATACCTTCTGCTACAGAAAAATCAAGGTGGGTAGTTTACAAAAAGTAAATTCAAGCTTAGAATGCAACAGAGGAGAATTTTAAAATAAAATTTTGTAGGCAAAAATACTGTCACGTAGGAATGAGATCAAAGCTCAGTTTTTAAAAGATGTTCATACTACTGATTTAAAAAAAGAATCGAAACTTACAACATATAACTCATTTCATCTGCTATAGTGGTAGGAACTGTGTAATCAATCTGAAAGATAAAAATGATATAAAAATGGATTAAAGTGATGGTAAGTTTTGAAAGAATAATTCTTCAAATTCCTACAGCCAAAACACCCCATCTCTGTATGTTCAATTCCATGATACCCTTTCCTGATTAAAAGAAGCTGTTGGAGAAATTTAAAACCAAGCCTTTTAAAGACAATCTGACACACTCTGATGCATTAAAAAAAAGTGAGTGAGGAGTCACTCAGAAATTTAAAAAAGCATCACTCCCACTCTTTACCTGTTTCATATCCAGCGGTCCAATGCTGGTGATATTATTTAATCGTGCCTTTCCAATCACAGTTTTTGAAAACTGGACTTGTGCTGTGATATTTGCGACTTCCACAGAATAATAGTTGTTGTTTGCTATATTCAATGTGTTCTGCAAAGAGAAAGCAGGAAATTTTTAAGTTGTCTCAAACCGTTTGGATTCCAAAATTCATTCATGGATCAAGCGCCTTTGTGAAGTACTCTACTCTGGTGGAGGCTGGGAAAGATCACCCATGGCGGCTGCCAAGCATTACAGGGAAAACAGAAAGTGGGTATCCCAAACAAACTAAGATACTGACAATGGCGCCATTTTGTGAGAAGCAACAAGATACATTTACAAACGATGTCCAACAATTTGGTCTGGCTCCATCCACAAAAAGGAATTCACACACAAGGTGAACATTAAGATAGGGGGAAGGCAGTGTGGAGCAGTAAACACAGAGTTAAATCTTGGAGTCACATGACCCAGGTTAAAGGCCGGGCTCTTCAATTTAATATCTATGTGACCTTGGGCAAATGCCAGCCTCTTTAGGCTTCTGATCCCTCATCTACAAAAGGGTCAGTGGTCCTGGATGGCCTCCAACAATCTTCCTCAAAACCATTTTCCAAATAACTGCTAAAGGGCTAATATTAACACACATGTCTGACCATGTCATTCCACTCCTTAAGAAACTACCTTGGCTCCCTGTGCCCTCGATGACACAGGACAAGAAAGCCCTTCACGTGCTGCCTGCAACAATCAATCAATCAATCATTATTAAGTGCTCACCATGTGTTTATGTGAAGTACTACAGATTTGAGTACAAAGAATGTTATTTTTAACAGGGCAGACAGCAAGCATATATAAATGTATGTGTGTATCTACAGATATAAAGAATCAGTCATTCCATAAACATTTATTAACACCTACTGTGTGCCAGGAATTGTCCCAAGCACTGAGGATACAGAAAGAAGCAGAAGACAGTCCCTGCCCTTAAGAAGTTCACAATCTAATTGGGGAACCACAAGCAAACAGATAGATAAATACAAACTATATACAAGATAAGTAGGAAATAACTGAGAGAGAAGGTACTAAAATGAAGAGAGGCTAAGAAAGTCTTCCTGGAAAAGGTAGAATGTGAGCTGGGACTTGAAGAAAGTCAGGGAGGCCAGCAGTCAGGTGAGAAGGGACAGTCTTTCACACGGCCAGAGAGAATGCTCAGAGCTGAGAGAAGGAATGGTCAGGAGGCCAGAGGCCCTAGATCCAAAAGTACATGTCAGGAGGAAGGGGTGAGAAAGATTGGAAGGACAAGGGCCTCGAATGCCAAATAGAGCATTTTGTATTTGATCCTGGAGGCCACAGGGAGCCGCTGGAGTTTACTGAGCAGGGGAAGGACGTGGCCGAACGGAGGATGGACTGGAGTGGGGAGAGACTGAGGCAGGCAGACCCCCCAGCAGCTACTGCAGTGGTGCAGGAGATGCTGCAAAGGTGCTGTCGACAGCCTCAGCAACAGCTTGGATGTGGGGGGTGAGAGAGGAGTTTGCCTCAGTTTCTCTGAGCATAAAATGGGTATAACGATTACAACATGCATCTTGCAGGCTTGTTGTGAGAATCAATTGAGATGATGTTTGTAAAATGCTTAGCCCAACGCTGTGCACACAGTGGGTGCTTAATAAATGCTCATTCGCCCTCCCTTCCCCTTTCCTTCTCAACAGAACTACAGGGTGATGAAAAGAAGAAGAGGAGGAATTCAGAAGGCAAACCACCATGAGTGACATCAACAACCACACTTTCCACATAATCTATTTCCTCAAAGCCCCAGGCTGCTTCTTGGAGTCTTGCCAGGGCCTCTCCAGGGTGGCGGGAGGATTCCTCCAGGAAGCTCTCCTTTATCGCCTCCAGGGGCAGGGCATGGCCTCTACTGCCCCCGAACTACGGGTCTGTCTAGTCGATCCCTTGGCCAGTCAGTCAGCAGCGTCAGTCAGACCAAAGCTGCAGACAACAACCGGCCAGGGAGCACAGAGTAAAACACCTCTGGGCAAAGGGCCCCGTGCCCGAGGCGAGGACACAGGCAGCAGAGACAAAAATAGGGCCGGACACCCCTGGGTGGACAGCGTGAGGACACGCTGGATGTGGGCTCCACCAGGGAGAAGGCCTGGGACGAGGAGCACATATAGTCAGGCTGCACTTTAGGGCTCCTACCGCCTGCAGAGAACAGAGGCTTGGAAGAAAAACCGTTTAGAAGAAATCACGCGACTTATCTATGAATTCTAGGCACAAAAGAGATATGAGTAAGGGACTTTCAAGTGATGGAGACAGGGCTATATCTCTAATTAAAAGCATTTAAATTCTGTAAGCCCTGATTAAGTTCCCATGACCAGTACTGTAAATAAAACATGGAGATGAAAGTCAGCACACTCCCCGCACATTTCAGTGCCCAGAAGGACTCATCCCTTGCTGCCACACGTAAGCAGGCGTGGCAGTGATACCTGATCACGACAAGTCCACGGCAGGAGGGGCACGCCTTTTGCTCGCCACATCGGGCTCTTTCTAAATGACTGGAAGCTCTGCCTAGCGCATGTCCCTGACTGCAGAACCCGAGAGCCCACAGGACCCAGCAGAGATGCCATCCCCACTCCCGGTGTCTGTCCTAGTGGTACGCAGCTCTGCAAACAGCTCTGCCCTATCTTCCCTGGAGAAATTTCTCTCTAAGGAGTTGTTCTTGGAGTGAAAAATTTCCCCCAATAATTGTTTCTTTAAATTCTTTACTCATAAGTAAACGTACACACTTGCCTTCAGAGAAAGACCCAAGGGAGCCACTGTGTACGCTCTACCAAGACACACAACTGTCAGTCACAGTGAGTGGCATCTCTGCCTCGCTGTGCTCGGTGTCCTCTCCCAGGCGGTGACGCCAGGTGATTCTCTTGTTATCACCAACCCTCCTAGATACAGTCTCAGCTCCTCGGCCTATGCACTTCTTGCCTATTTCACGGTTCAGGAATTGAGGGCGGTCACGTGGGAAGTGGCTTGCACAGGGTCACCTAGCTAGTGAATGCCAAGGCTAGATGGGAATGCAAGTCTTCCTGACCACAGCCCAGAGTCCTATCCCCAGGCTGCCAGCTGCCCCGATCCTAAACTGATGAGGATCCTGGGAAAAATACACACCCACGGAAGCAAACAGTGGAAAAAAAAAAGGAACAAAGATATTCTGCATTCATATCTGCACTTACCGTGATATTGAGGTAGATCACCCTCTTTGCGTCGTCATAACTGACATACGCTGACTTCACGCCAATGTATTTCACGTCAATGGAGCGAGGAAACAGGAAGAAAACAGCCAGCCCAGAAAGGAGCAGACACACAAACACAGACGCCATCACATAGAGCTTTCTGGAAGTCGCAAAGAGAGAGGAAGCACAATTTAAAATGGGAGCACGCCATCAACTGTGAGGAAAGCTCAGCCTAAGTATACACGGACTGATACTTATTTTCCTTGTGTTCTAACCTTTTTTAACCTGATCTGTGATTGCATCGGAACAACAAGATTTCAATTAGACATACCCTCTCCAATGCAGATGGGCGGGGGTTGAAGAGCCGCTCGGAGGCACTTGGGATCACAGCCAGGGCATGACAGAGACGAGCTCTTCACCCACCTTGGTGCTCGGTTCCTCACGTCTCATACACTCACCGTAAAATATTCTTACTTAGGGCCATTTTCCCCTCACTCTAAATATCCACAATAAAGATGATCCTGAGTGTAGCATCGGGTAAAGTAAAATGTTCAACTCTTAGAGATTTCAGTTTTCGACTGGCGTCTTGATTAGTGTGAAAATGTACAGTATTTTAAGTTAATAAAAAAAAAAAGAATGCTAAAGTACATTATACTAAAGTATTTAAGGGAAATTTAATGTATACCTAGTGAACCAATACTGATCTGCATGTTAAAATTTCACAAATAATAATTTCCATTGAAATTAGATAAGCCTTTCCTAGCAGCTTAAACAAATTAAAATTTTTAATGTGACACATTGTATGTGGCCCTCAGGGAAGACAAGTGACCTGCACCTATGTAAGAGCATAAATTACACAGGATGCATCCATCTGCATCAGTGGAGGGAGCTTCTGCACTGAAGGACAAGTCTGGACCCCCAACCCCTCAAAACCCCTTCCCATTAAATGCGGCTCACTACTCTGCTGTAGCATCCAATGCAGGCTACCTTGATCGGTGAAGATTCATCAGTTCATCAGTTTGCTCATCTTTAAATTGGACTGGATGGACACATTCTATGAAATATCATTGCTCTAAGTCGGCGATCTCCAAACCGTTTTGATCACGTTCCCCTAGTAAGACACTTGGGAGCCCACTACTACCATGAACTTTTCTGTATTCGTAAATCAGACACATAAGTACTTTGTATTAATAATTATGTAAAGCTGCAGAAGTCAAATAAAAATAGAAACTGACAAAGAACGCGAAAAAGCTGAAGTAATATTTGATCTGAGAGTCCTCAGGTAGCATGCCCCTGGAGTGAGCCAGACGGGCATTTCAGAAATCACTGTGGTAGCTGGGCAGAAGATGGCCTGGATGGAGGCTGGGAGGCCACTGCAGTAGCACAGGTCAGAGGTGATTGGGTCTGAACGACGGTGGCAGCCGTGGCAGGAGAGCCCAAGGGAGACACTGACAGGTGTGTTGAGATTCAGAACTGAGGGCAGTGAGTGGGGGAGAAGATGACGGCACCAAGGCTGGAAACTTGGAAGATGAGAAGGGTGGTGCCCTCGAGATAGCCACGGAAGCCTGGAAGTGGGCAGGTTTTGGGGGGAAAGGCAATGTCATGAGACCTGAGATGAAAATCAGAACCTCTTAACGGCAGCCACATCCTGAAGGTCAGGAAGCCTCACCTTTGGCCATCACAGAGACGGCAGCAGGCAGATGCTCTTCCCATCACATACGTCTTGGGGTCAAGCCACCACCCTGACTGTGGAAACTATGCCCACTGTCCCCAACAATGCCTCTGGGCTTGGTTACCTACATTTTAAGAGACACTGCTCCAAAACATCTACTCGAGCTAACGAGAATAAAAACTGTTCTTTACTGGGAAGGTGGAAGGGGAAGGGAAAGGCCATACTTTGTACTTCTACCCTGTCTAGTGAAAGTTCACAGCATGTGCAGATTGCCCAGCTCACGAAACACAACTGTGGTGAGTGCAGAGATGGGGGCCGATGACCAGGGCGGAGAGAGCTCGCTCTGAGAGTGTCTCTGTCTTGGGGCTGGCTCCCTCTGTGACCTGACAGGTAATCTCTAATCATGTTTGCCACAAGGGCAGAGCTGGAAGAGGGATGCATGGCCCTGGACAATCCTATCACTCCTCAGGAGCCAAGGACGCAGTCCGAGGGACTTGAGAGAGAGAGAGAGGAGTGGAGGGGAATGAAGACGAACAGAAATCAGCTCGGCTTTCAGGGGATTTCTGGCACGGAAAAGAACCCAAGCTGACAATGTGGCTCTCGGCCTCCATGAAGGAGGCTAAAGGTTGTACTTGGGAAAAAAAAGAGGAAAAGCCAAGTTTTCCCCAAAGGGCAGAGATGTAATAATCAGTTCATGAATTTGTAGACTGCAAAACCTGTTCCTGGAAGAGCCTTTTCTTCCTTCCAATCAATAATCTCCTAAAGAAAATAACACAGCTTTCATGGCTAAGTTATTTTGAAGCTTTTGAGTGTAGGAAGGGGTGTGTGTGTGTGTGTGTGTGTGTGTGTGTGTGTGTGTGTGTGTGTG